ATGTGTAGGCACAAGCAATCAATAATTTTGTGGTTTCTTCGTTCTCTCACTGAATCTAATATGGTTCGACTTGCCTAACCAACATTTGATCATCCCTACAACAAAGCATGATGTAATCTCATAACCCAATCAGTTGAAGGAATAAATATGATGAAGTCCTATCTCCATATAACTCTTCAATAGATTTTATCTGAATAGATCACGTTGTCCATCTACTCACAGATCTTGTGAGGTCATCGTCATAGTCACGTAGATGATTACAACATTGAAGCTAGAGGGTAAGCAGCTACCACCATGCAGCTTGTCTTCTTCTAGAATTCTTTAATGATTTTCCTTTTGTTCCTCTTTCTTGAGTTGCACGTAAATGTTGCCCGTAAAATGCTATTCTCAATTCTCAAAATATGGAATCTACCATCTGCAAATATTTAATTATTTTAAACTATAGTTTAATTTGAAATCGTTTTAACTTTTCAAAAGAAATTAAAGAGAGAAATTGTACATGATATATAGTTGGATTGACTTTTCATAGTGTCCAAGCGCACCTGGCCTCTATTTTGTGTAAATTAGAGTTGATAAAAAATTCACATCAAAGTCAATAATTAATTTTAAAAACATATTTTATGGAATCCACAACTTTTCAATCACATTTCACCAACTTTTATCAAATTTTACTAAAAATTGATTTTATTTTACAACAAACAAGGGCCTACTACTTTTTCTTTTCATTTTTTTAATTACCAATGGATATTTCAGTAGATAAATGTTTAATATATATTTAATTTTTTTTCAAAAATTTTCAACCTTTTTTTCTTTTGGTGAAAATTACACAACTTAAATTAAAATATAAAAATGTAATTAAAATATAAAAATATTCCAATATTACATTTTTATATTTTTTACCCCATAATTACTGTAATATTAAAGCACAAAAAGGCTTATGAAAAATAACTTAAGTCGTACAGTAATCGATTTCTTTGCTAATATCACTTCGACAAACATGCCCATTTTTTACAAGCATCAAACTAGAATCCCTAAAATGTAGTCTGTTCATCATCCCAAAATCGATTTCCACAAAATTGATGCTTGAAATATCCTAAACCCATCTCACAAATAAGTCATTTTCAATTCTTAAGCTCTAGAAAATCATTATAGAAAATAATATGACGCTGTGAAAGAAAGGAATTCAAGCGAAAACCTTAGGAACAAGCAATTTGGAATCTACCAAATAATAAAGAAAATAAACTCACGAATTTATTAACGAAAAAATAATTAAAAAAAGAGTTAAGCCCTTATTTATAAGGGTTTACATGGAAACGTAGTTTAGAACAACTAAAAGTAATGGAAAAGAAGTTTAATCAAACTAGAATTGTAAAAAAAAAACGAAAATAAACGAATTGACAAAAATATCGCTAAAACTTTGAAAATCAGTTTTCGAGACCTAAGAGAACTCGAATGGCTGAAATTCAACGTACATCACAGCATAGCAGTGAGTATTGTTCCCCTCGTCGTTCTCCTTCCAAAATGGTCTTATGGGATCGATCCGGAATCAAGATAATTTATTTCTACTAGTACTCTTTTTCCAATATATCCCTTATGTCCTACACCAGTCCCTTCCACCTCCGAAGAACTCGACCCCGATTTATAATCTGGATACAAAGGCTTATCATCTTTATAGAACTCATACAAATCTGCCAAATTGAATGTATGAGAAATACCCATAGACTCTAGCAAATCAATAATATAGGCATTGTTGTTAATCCGTTTAAACACTTTGAGATGCCCGTACTTTCTCGATTTCAGCTTATTGTAAGTACCAGCGGGAAATCTCTCTTTTCTCAAAAAAACCATCACGAAGTCCCCTTCTTGAAATTGTTTATCCCGTCTATGTGAATCTGATGCTGCCTTATACTTTGCATTAGTTCTCTCTAACTTCTATTTTACCTCATCACGAACTACTATCACTTCCTCTGCCAGATGTTCAGCAGCAACACTTTTATTATCACCTTTAGGCAATTTCGCCAAATCCTCCACATGGTAAGGCACCTCTGTATACACAATAGCAAATGGAAACTTGCCTGTAGCAGTATGAACTGCACTGTTGTACACGAACTCCACTTGAGGTAGTGTAAGATCCCACTGTTTAGGTTTATCTCCACAAACACTTCGAACCATGTTTCCAAGAGTACGGTTAGTAACATCGGTCTGTCCATCAGTTTGAGGATGTGTAGTGCTGCTTAGATTCAAATTAGTTCCAAACAACTTCCATAAGGTAATCCAAAAGTGCCCCAAAAATTTTGTATCCCGATCTGATGTGATAGACTTGGGAACTCCATGTAATCTAACAATCTCCTTGAAAAATAGTTTGGCAATATGTGACGTATCTGAAGTCTTCCGACAAGCTGTAAAGTGCGCCATTTTGGAAAACCTGTCAACCACCACAAAAACAGAATCTACTCCCCGTTGAGTACGAGGTAATCCCAAAAGAAATTCCATAGCCAGATCTTGTCATATGCCCTGAGGGACAGGAAGTGGCATGTACAACCCAGTATTCTGTACTTGACCCTTTGACACCTGACAAGTATAACACTTTCTGACTATAATTCCAACATCCCGCTTCAACTGTGGCCAATAATACCTAGCCTCCAAACTGGCTATTATCTTGTTACACCCCAAGTGTCCACTTAGACCTCCACTATGTAGATCTCGAATCAATTTTTCACGTAGAGATGAAACAGGAATATACAAACCGGTTGCTTTTGAATAGATACCCTTCACTAATATAGAAATCTACCATTGATTCTCGATTCACACACTTATTCCAAATCTCCTTAAAGTCAGGATAATCTGCATACAGATCTTCCAAGCACTCAAACCCAATAATTTCTTGTGATAATGTGATCAATAAGAAAGCTCTCCGACTCAGTGCATTTGTAACTCTATTGGTACTCCCAGATTTATGCTTAATTACAAAAGGAAATTTCTGAAGAAAAGTTACCCACCAAGCATGCATCCTACTGATGTGTTTCTGACTATGAATGAATTTCAAGGCTTGGTGATCAGTGAACAACACAAACTTATTCTGTACCAAGTAGTATTCCCACTGCTTCAAAGCCCTAACAACTGCATAGAATTCTTGCTGATAAGTACTCCACTTCTGCCTAGTATCACTTAACTTTTCTGAAAAGAAAGTCACGGGTTTCTTCTCTTGAGAAAGGATAGCCCTAATACCAATACAACTAGCGTTACACTCCACCTCAAAGATCTTCTTAAAGCTTGGCAAGGCTAATACTAGAGCTATGCACAACTTTTCTTTGATGAAGGTGAAGCTCTTATCTTGTTCCTCTCCCCAACTGAATCTTCCTTTATTCAAACATTCTGTGAGAGATGCCACGATACTACTGAAATGCCTGATGAATCGTTTGTAGAAAGTTGCTAACCCATGAAAACTCCTTACTTCAGAAACTGATTTTGGTGTTGGCCAATCTTGAATTACTTTTGTCTTCTTTTCATCTACATGCAGACCATCTTTCCCTACCACAAAGCCTAAAAACAATAGCTTAGATGTATAGAATGTGCACTTCTTCAAGTTGATGTACAACTGATTTTCCTTCAGAACCTCCAGGACTTGCCTCAAGTGAGCTAGGTGATCCATCTTAGACTTTCTATAAATAAGGATATCATCGAAATACACAACAACAAAAGACCCAATAAAAGGACGGAGAATTTGGTTCATCATCTTCATGAAAGTACTTGGGGCATTTGAAAATTCGAATAGCATCACCAACCATTCATAAAGTCCGTCCTTACTCTTGAAGGCGGTCTTCCATTCATCTCCTGGCTTAAAACGGATCTGGTGATAATCACTGCGGAGATCTATTTTCGAGAAGACCTTAGAACCCTCAAACATATCTAGCATATCCTCCAACCATGGAAAACGAACTATACACTTGCGGAGATTTATATCGAAATATATTTTTTGTGAACAAAAATTACAATTTTGTCTCATATATTCATAGCGACATAGGGTTCATCAAAGTCCTGATTAAAATCATGTCTTAATCACTTTGTCGCATTCTTATTCCAAGATCTCGATGTCTACTTCGATCCATAAATAGATCATTGCATCTACATCATCCATAACCTTTTTATTTTAAGTCAAATCATCAACTTGTACAATGGAGATCACTAGATTGGACTCTCCACTCAACAAGTACATTGAAAGTGAACTGATAATCATCCGACTTTGTCTAAGAGTCGATTGATCTAGAATGTGGTGTCATTTGGAACGTAATATTTTCATCAATGTTGGCACTACCATTAGGTGATGCCATTACCTAATCATTACATTCAAAGTCTATTGATCTATTGGATCAGATAACAATTTATCTTTCCCACTCAGATCATGTTGTCCAAATATATTTGATACCATGGGATGTCTATCGCAGGTCGTATTTCAGGAATTGATAGGGTGAGATTGCTCACACTTATTTCTTTCAATACGACCTTATTATTGGACTGACGATCATTTATATACTTATCCTCTAGCAAGGTTATATTTGTGCTAATAAAAAAAAACTATCATCTCTCAAGGAATATAAAAATGTAACCTTGGTATCTTTAGAATATCCTAAAAATAGGTACATTTCTAATCTAGACTTCAGCTTTTGTGCCTTTTCTTTCAGCATATGAATTGGACCCCCGTGTCTTGTGTTCATCGAACTAGAAGTCATGCTTTAAATATTTACTCAGTTGTACTTTAATAGTGGTTTCTACCAGCGTAGAATTCAACATGGATGATTTGCCCATACATTTGTTTTCATTTTTGCATATTCTTAGACTTTTTCGCCCAAAGGGGGTGTGGTCTCACGAGCTCATTTCAACCGTATGTATGTACATAAATAAAGTTAGACTAGTTGGCTACAACACTGTCCATGCTAAGGTGAGCAACTTTGTTTAAAGATACAACATACATTCCCTGAGCTAAAACAGTAGACTCGACTCGATAATATATTTGTTCATATTGCACATTGTGTTCTAATATAGCATAGACTAGAATTGTATAAACTAGAAACGATTGTGCTACATGTACATAATTGTGTACATAATAATTTATATACACATGATGTGAGATACGATTGGACTAGAATTCAACCAAATAAGAAAAAACTCTTTTTTCTCACTTTTTTTAATACATCATCTATATATAAATCATTATGTAACTCTTCATGTAGTAGTATTATTCAACTTGAAATAAGAGAAGTACAGCTATGCATATGCAAACCCATGGAGTTTTACACGTTCCAATTTGTTCATCCCCCACTCCACAGGACCCGAGTAAGGGCCAAAGCTCAACAGCGAGAATCCACCATTATGTTCATACAAGATCAAGGAGCGCATGTGGTCCAAGTAGATGGAAGCCTGGTCGATGTCGAAGGTGGCATGCTATGTACATTCACATCTTGAGGCAGCAAACGGTATTCAATATCAAGCTCACGGAAAATTTTAACCATCTCCTCTACAAAAAGGGCTCTCCTTGACCACCTCTCACCCATATCCTGATGATTTATCGTGTGAAAAGGCCAAATCGTCCATTTTAGCCTGTTCATGTCCTCCATGTCTCTTATGACTATCAATGGAGCCGGATACCAGTGATCACTCCTATTGTCAACATATCTGTATGGGCCATAATGCCATAAAACATGACAAGTTAGATTGATATCTCTCAGTAATGGACGGTTTGCACAGAGAGATGGATAGCTAGTCCAAGCAAGACAGAGAGCATGTTTGGCTAAGCCCAAAAAAACATAAAAGTAATATTTGAGAAGTATAAAACTAAAAGTAAGCTTTTGAACTAATTAAAAAGTTACACGTACTTTTTCTAGCAAACATGTTTAGCAGAAAATGTAAATATAACTTTTAAGCTCAGACCAATGTTTAAGAAACATTAATGGATACATAATATTTTTCTTACTTTAAAGTGAAAAAAATTAATGTATGAAATAAGTAATTAACTTCCTTGTTTCCAAGTCAAAGAAATTATTATTTTTAAGAGAAACAACCACTAGCTTTGAGGTACACGAAGCAATATTTGTACCTTGTTATTCTCTCCTTCATCATTGCAATCTTTTCCCCCGGAGTTGAAATGTGGATAACAAAATCAATTTCATCACCCATATCTGGACTGCGATAATAATTACCGATGAACTTTGTGGATAAGACACTGTTTGGATAAAAAATCTTCTGGTTATCAAACCTCAGAAAAACTGTTGTCAATATGTTCATCTCTTCGACTACCATCTGAAATAAATTAAAACAAAAGTTAAACAAAGCACAAACATAATAATAATAATGATGAAGGAATATGCTCAGCCATGCAGATTCTAATGCAAAAAAATAAATTTGCTTGCAATAAATCTTACCTGAACTTCATCAATTTCAACACGATCACCCACATCAAACGGATGCATCACAAATAAGAAGATAATGGCCTCAAACATTGTCTTGCATGTGTTCCCAAACACGAACACAATCAAAAGAAGCTGAGAACTTAAGAAGATAAAGAAATGCATAGTTGTAACTTTGAGTATAAGGAGCCAGATGACCACTAATATCACTCCCACTAGGGCATTTAGTATTTGGTGCAGTTTGTTGACAGCAGTTTTCGTGTCATTCAAAGACAAAGCTAGGGCTCGCCTCTCTCTAAATGCATTGACCTGCAGTATAAGAGATAGGAAGTACTATAATATTTTTTTGTAGAAGTGATATAAAAAGAATACATTTATATTTCGCTCTTCCTATCATGGATACATACATGAACTGTAGTCTTTGATCGAGCATGGAAGATAATTTTTTTGAAACAGTTCAATAGTAGAGTATCTGACAAATTATGCTTCCTCCAACTTCCATAATACACTTTTCTAAGGACAATCGGTGTTAGACTGCTGAGCCTAAGCACAAGCAAACTCCCCTGCTTAGGTTTTCAGGGTAGAGCACCCAAAGCAAGTTTTTTAATTAGGGATTATATTGAGCAGTCCACATATATAAAGGATTTTAGAGGCAGGGCATCTTTTGAGTAAGCAAAACAGCATGAGAGTGAAAAATGTGAGTTTGTTGTGTGTGTGTGTTTTTTTTATTTCTTTTTATTTATTATTGCTTTTGAAGTTAGGGGTTGAGGTATAATACATAGCACTGGAAAACATCTAAAACGAAACGAGAACTAGGATTAAAAAGGAACTAAAGAACAACCCTTCAAAGACTCATACCTGCCACGACGGAACACTAAAGGGGTTATCCCATACCTGGGAAGACACTAACCTTAGTTGTTGTAATTTGACTGGGTTGACCAAGAGTTCATCCTGGTTTAAACAGCTAACTTTTTTGCTTTAACAGATTACATACGACAAGCATGTGATCCAGTATACATTATCTTGAAAGAAACTTGAGGTTTATCTTCTTTTTGCTGGAGATCCTTTAACTTAATCATAAAATTGAACGGTACTACAATAATATTATCTAGTTCTTGCATCCGATAAAAGACTTCCAGTGAGATAAATAGGATGTTTGTTACTTTCCGCTATACGAAAAAGCACATCTGATCTTGGTCAAGGTTCTTGAAAACTCCAATTAAAATTGAACTACATCTCCATTTCCCCCCAATAAGATGGCCTCAAGAAATATTAGGACACAGATTTCATATCACGAAAGAATTTCTACAAAGATTATTGTTTCACAAGGACTGAGTTGGAGAGAGTATGAAATTAAACTCTCATTCCAAACTTATATTTATGATCCTCCGGTATTGTCAAAATCCAAATATTCCTTTTAGCCAGTTCCTATTACCCACGTCTCCTCCCCCAATAAATTACAGGTACTTTTTCGTACAACCGTGGACAAGATAGTAAGGCCTCTTAGATTTTATGCAAATGTATCTCTCATCAGTCACCATTGCTAAAACAAAAGCGAGCACAATTTGGACATTGTTTGACAATGGACCAGATATAACTTACTATTTCGGACAGATGATAAGATCTCAAAGAAAAAGGGGTAAAATGGATATACTTTTACTTACCACCCAATTTTTAAGAGCTCGTTTGCTTATCCCTTCGTTTTCGTTTGCTCCTTCAATGAGGCGCATGGTCTTCAAAGCCTCATCCTCTCTCATAAAGCGCATCAAATCCTCCAGGTAAATGAATCTAATCACAGATAGACAAGCTACTAAGTCATGCAGTTTACATAAATAAATTGGAATCAACAGAAAACTGAAATTCATAAGAGCATGTAAATATTACTAAAGTTGGACTTTTTTTTTTTTTTTTTTAATAACCGTGGGTGTCCGGACCAGCTTACACGTACCTCGACTAATCCCACGAGACCCTGAAATTTACAGCCGAGCACTCACCTCAATGACTTTGAAGGGACTCAAACTGGTGACCATTGAGGAGCAAACCCAAGATTTGACACTAAGCTATCCCTTAAGGTTACTAAAGTAACTTTCAGTAAATTGATCATGTGCTATTCTACATTTTTTAAGTGAATTCGTGATGTCTCGAGCAGATGTTGGCATCTTGGACTGTCTGGTCCAAATCAATCAAATATCACAGGTCAACTGCAATGGGAGTTCTAACCTTGATAATCTACCTGGCACTTTTTATTGCTTAAAGAATGTCAATGAAGAAATAATCTCTGTCGATGCACCCAAGTGATGGAATGAACATAATGCCATGACAGTGTAATTTCAAATTACTAAACAAGAAAATAAATGATGTAAACCAAGAATATGAATAAGAGCCTGTTTGAGAGTGATTTTTCCCCCCAAAAATTGATTTTTTGACTGTTATTTCACTATTCCAACCGCCATATTTGACTTCTTCTCTCATAGGTGGGCCCCACTTTTCTCCTAACGATCAAAAAATCAATTCTCAAAATTACTCCCGAACTGACTCTAAATTTGGAAGCAATACTTAAAAATTAGCAAGTTGCAGTCAATAAACAAAGTTAAAATCTAAAACTTCATGCACAAAAAAACTAACTTTGATCCAGTCTTCGCCACGTTGTTTAAGATCTTCTTGGCTGCAACTTTAGCCTGTTTTTCACTAGTGATCTGCACGGCTGACTCAACTTCATCGGTTGAGCCCTGTATTTGCTCGTCCAGAGTCGATAATACACCTTTCCGAACAATATTAGTCAGCCTCTTCATATTCCAAGCTGAAATATTCTTCTGATTCAGCCTATGCAAATGATCAATTGTTATACCAGCCTCATCTTCCTTCTTTGACGTGATCCGAGAAAACAAAGGACTCTTTGCACCAGTAGCCATGGGACTCTTCCCAGGTGCCCCTAGCACTTTCGCACTTTTGGGAAACACATTTGCCTTAAGGTCAGCGGGAATATTCACCCCAGCACTCTGAATCTTTTGAACCTCAGCTATCAACTTCTCCTCCTCTTGTTGCTCATGCTGAATCTCGATCAATGGTGGAGCAGAAAGTGTCTCAATGACATACTGATTAAACAATGATTCCTGAATCCGATAAAAAAATGTGCTGACATGAAATGAGTATGCTAAAACCTTCACCAGTAAGGTCTTTAACAACCAAATCAATGTCCCAACCAAGAGACACACCCAAATCTTAGTCACATAAGGCAAAACATTCCTCTTCGTAAGTCTCTCAACCTTCTTATCGAAAATGCATTGCCAAGCAATCAAAACCAGAGCCAACCATATACAGTTCTGCACTGCATTTCTCAGCCCGTAAACAAAATACAATATTACGCAGCAAAATATTCCTCTCAAAGAAAAACACAACAATTCTAATCCCCCACCCTGATACCAATCTTCCAGAAATCAAAACCAAAACCATCAATTCCCATTTCCACAATTGCAATTCGAAAATTTCCTTATTCTTCAACAGATTAATAGTTGAACTACAAACTAAAGCCGCGATAATCAGAATCAAGCTCACCAGTTGAAGAATCGAAAGTGCACTGAACTTCATTTTCTTGTAATCATCTGGCAAATCTTCATCTAGAAACGGGTCGTCTTCATCTATTTCAGTTATTTTACCAAAAAACTGAGATTTTGTGTTTCTCAGATTCTGGGATTTCTGATTGTTCTCCGGCGGGTCAAGTAATCGGGACTTGGTTATGGTTCTAAGCAAACTGGATTTTCTCCGGAAAGATGAGTTGGAGCTGCAGACTAGAACCTCTTCCTGTTCGGCGTTGGACCTGCGGTTTGAGACCCGACCCGCTGCCGTCTCCACCGTGTTGTTATGAAACGGAACGCGGACCTCCCTCGGCGTCATCTGGCCGTTGTTGGTACTCGGACTCTCCGCTATGCGAGATAAGGGAGACTCGGTTATGAAATCGAAATCCTGGTTGTTCGCGGCAGCTCTCATAACGACGTCGTTTGAGAAATCGTAACTTGCATCCTTCCACATTCCACCGGCATTAGTAGTAGTGCTAGTATTATCGCTAGGTTTAGTTGGTTCCTTGAAGGAATCCTGGCCGTTGATTTTGACGATAACTTCTTTGGGTAGTGAAGGAGAGGAGGAGATAGAGGACGATGAATTCATGGCGGTGACGGTGGAAGCGAAGTTAGTACGTACTAGCGTTACTGTTATCTACAGTGATGGGCTTTTGGCGAAGAAGGAGATTTTAGAGCTGTTCTTCTTTCGGGGGGCTGGATTGGAGAGACTTAGAGGATTTTTTGAGTTTTTCCATGTGAAAATGGTGGTTATCCGATCTATATAGACTCTAAAGAATTCAAAAAGGAAAAATTTTTGAAAACTGGATTTGTGAATATATTATAAAGAGAAGAGATTGATGAGTTGTCCTGTTAGAGGATTAAACAAAACCCAGAAACGGCTGCATTAGGTTTGGTGAAAAGGATTGAGGTGGGAGTGCAACGGAGGGAGAGGCGGAGGATCCAGATCGTACAGATGGCGGGGGCGTCCATGATAGACGAGGATGGTGCATGTTGAGTTTGTTTGTTTGAGTGGGAAATTCCCACTCAGCTTTCGACAAGGTTCTTAATTCTTTCTTGGGATAATTGCAGCAGAGGTCCCAAATCTTTCAAACACTAGTAGATTTTTTTCAAATTTTTGATTTGTTGCAACTGTCACCCCTAACCTCTTTAAACGTTGCAGATAAAGTCCCAATGGAAGGAAAACATCCAATTTACTGTTAGTTGACCATAAAATTGAATTTGACTACATTTTTAATATTTTTATAAAGGGCAAAATAGTAAATTTTCTATTTACCAAATTAAATAATTACATTAATTAATTAAATATAAAAAACGGAAAAAAAAAAGGAAAAAGGGGGAAAACCAAAAGCACCGTCACAGCCAAAACTCCATTGTCGCCTCCATCCCAATCACTTGTAGCTTTTTTCTATTGACTTACCATCTAGACTGGGATTTCCTTTCACACAAATGGAAAGGATAAAACCTGTTAATACACACAAATATAGACAGATACATACACTTTCCCATTGATCTTTCTTTTTCTTTTCTTTTTTCCCTTTCTCGGGTTCGTTTGGTTAGCGTGTTGATGTGGGATGTGACCGGGGTGTCGTCAGTGATTGTTCTTGATTGTGAGGATGTGATGATTTTCTCTGTATTCTTGTTTTGTTGAGTTAAATCCAATTGGGGTTTGAGATAAAGCAACCCGTATCTTGGCATGGCGACCCGGATGGCATGAAATTAGGGTTTATATCTTGCAACCGGAGATTCGCAGCCATGGCATGGTAACATTCTCTCCCTCTTCGCTAAATTATATACAGATCTGAGCCCCAACTTTTCTTGCACCGTGTTTGGTTAAGCTCAAATATATGCAAAATGTATTTTCGATTTTGGGCAAGTTGGTGGTGATGGTGCATTTCCAGTTAGGGGTGGCAGTTAGGGTCGGGGTGAGGAAGAAGAAGAGATTTTTTCCCTTTTCATTTTATTTTCTTCTTCTTCTTCTTCTTTTTGTTGTTTTTAATTTAAGTTTTCATGTGAAAAATATAAATTTACGATTTTGTCCCTTAATAATTGATTAAAATGCAGTCAAAGTCAAATTTTTGGATCAACTAACAGAAATATGGACGGAATCCATCCATTGGGGCTTGACCTGCAACGTTTTGAAAGGTTTAAAGTGACTGCCGCGACAAATGAAAGGTCCTAAAGTCTACAACTTTTTGAAAAGTTTGGGGTCTCAACTGCAATTTTCTCTTCTTATTTGGACAAATGTTAACAAATTGATTTGGCACTTGTTTAAGCCCCATTTTAGGGAAGAGAATGAATTTTTTAATAGTGTATTGATGGAAAATGTGTGATTACAAAATAAGAAAAAGTTTTGAATTTATGTGTAATGTTATTTTATTGAAAAATATGTAATTGAAATAATGTTAAAATACTGTTGAAAAATACATTTTTTTGAAAAAAAATGGGGCTCAAAAAAGGGTCAAGCCTATAAAAGGTAAGTTTATTAAGGTTTATACGTGAATGACAATTTTATCCCTACAGTCCTAGAAATTATTACGATTGTATTTATGATTCTTAGTAGTAAATATAGAACTCTAGTTCTTAATAAAATACACACAAATCTATTGACTTCCCTCTACTTTCTTCTCTTTTCACAACACGTTATCAGTACGATTATCTCAAAAATAAAGTAAATTAGTTAGAAAGTTATAATTTTTATAAGTACAATTATCTGTCATGTGTACCAAATTTAATTTGGTGGCATATGAATTCTTTCGATGTACATATGCATCTTAACGAAGTTGCTTCTTCTTCTCTGCTTTTCGTTGGTTGCTTTTATTCTCTGCTTTTCGTTGGTATACATATTAATTTTAATTCACGGTTATATGTGTAATTTGTACACATATTAATTCATATCTTTGGATTAATACACAATCAATTTTATCATATATTAATTTTGTCTTTTGAATTTGTTACATATTAGTGCTTCTTTGGATTTTTGTATATGTGGAATTCATGTGCATGTTTAATATCTTTTGCATGTTGACAAAAAATTTAGCTAATTTTTTTAATTTCTATGTATGGAGATTCTTTTTCCTAATCATGTTTGGTAATTAGTTTTCCTATATAAATTCATAGCATGTCTATATGGTAATTAAATATTTTTTTATAAACTTCAAGTTAATAATTTATCATGTTGTTGCTCCAAAAGTAGCATAACATTATAATTAATATTTCAGAAAAATATTAATTATATATCTATCTATTATAAATAGTTCGTTGTTGTTTCTGAAGTAGCATAACATTATTGATATTCTAGAAGAATATTACTTGATTATGAAGAGCATGGTATTGCAATTTCAATATTCCAAAAGAAAAATGACTCAATGCTTCTGAAAAAGCATAATTTAAATTATATTTATTGTTAATGAATATAGTGTTGATGTTCACGAAGAAACACAACCCACGTCATATAAATAATCTAGAAGAATATTTTATTGTTACTCATGTAGAGCACAAATTTTAATATTATATTGTTTAGTTCAAAAGGTAGAACGAATCATTAAAGTTAATATTTTCATAAGAATATTGTATTTATATTCTTAAAGATTATATATCTCGTTGTGCTGCTGAAGACATCACAACTTAATATGAAAAAAATTGTGTTGATGGTCCTGAAAAAACACAACATTATTAATATTTTAAAAGAATATTAATTGCTCTAAAAGAACAAGATATTATAATATAACAATATTTCAGAAGAATATTGATTGCTTTATAGGTAAAAATACAAATTAAGTTACTCTATTTTGTTATGTGTCCATTCTTCTGCATACGTATTTATATATTGATATTTTAATTATATTTTACTTGCTCCTGAGGAGCATAATTAAAAAATTCTGTTTTTACTCACGAAGAGTAAAACTCTTATACAATTTATTATTTCAAATAATAATATGTTAGTGTTCTTAAAGAGCATGACACCACGATTCCAATATTTTGAAATAATGCTCTTGAAAAAGCAATAATAAAATATAATGTGCTCTCAAAATAGTACTTACCTTGAAAAATATATCATTTTGAATTTGTGTTTATCCCTGAAGGAAAACATATAATTCATGTCATGTTAACATTGATTAGTTTGTTTTTTTAATTGAATATTATACAAGTCTATATTGTTTAATCATATTTTTCGAAATTAAACAATTGAATTATATATTATATTGAACCAGAAGTTCAATTTGATTTTATTATTTGACATAACTAGTTGGACCTTCACTGAATCCACAATGATGCATAATTAAAAATTTTAAATGGATATTTAATGAATAATCAAAAGATTCTTCAATCCAATGAATTTCTATATATTTTCTTCTTTATTAACAATTATCATTAAATATCACTGGTTAAAATAAGGATTGAGTTTCCTATATTTTTGAAATTAATTAGGGTGATACATGGAGCCCCGTCACCCACCACGTTGATCATCTATATATTATTTGTACATAATAGATTCGATATAAATACTAGATGATTGCTTAGTGTTCGTAACCTGAAATTTGAAAAATTATTGCTCAAATCATGAGCATAATTTTTAAATTATATAATCAAGACTATGTCTTCTTAATGTTACTAGGCATAAGTTTCAACATTTTAATAAGTGTTAATGGAGATGTCAATAAATGATTTAACACTATTGCTTGTTAAACGCCTCTCAATTAATTTAATTGAGAACAAATTACTTTCCTTTTCTATTTAGGGAATGCTATTACATATCTTGCCAATACCATAGTTTTCCTTGTTATAATTGACTTATAGTCAAAGTTCAATTTCTTCATCATATTATTTGATAGTGCAATTAATCCACCACATTACTTCGAAATAAAAAGTAAAGAATGGTAAAGATAAATGCATAATTTGAACCATTGTCTCAAATGGATGATATTTTATAATGCTGAAAAAATGATTATCAAATTGATTAGACAATTCTCTCAGCATTCAGGGAGAGGGATTAAAAAGTCGAAAATAATATATAAATGCATCATTTTTCTAAATCCTCACAAAATATCATTCGAACCAGAAAGTTCGAAAGATAATTTATTTAGATGCATTTACTGATCAAAAAGATGAACAATATCTCACGCACTAGTTTTAAATGCTCAAACACAAATTGACGTCTTATGAGGATAATTTGTTAACATTATATTTGATATATCTATGACAGCCTGAAGTGTGATAGTGTTGATTCTAATACAAAAAATCTTCAAACGAAAATTGAGTAATTGGCAAAGATGGTTTCATTAAGGAAGCATATATTCTTGATAAGTATTTAGACATAACAAATTATAAAACCCTAGAAGAGATTTAGATACCTAATATGTTTAAAATTGAAATATCTAAATAAGTTAGGTCACTATGGGAAAAGAAATAGTTTCGAACAAGAAAACAAAAAATTGTCGACAACGTTTTTTACATGATGTACTACATCATATTGTGAATAGCGAGGAATCCTATAAATGCGTTGAAATATATCGATCAAACTAATGTTTAGCAAAAAAAAGGGACGCAATTCTAAACTGAATTTACTAGAAAATATGAGGTTTTTGGACATGTAGTCCAAAAAATCTAAAGGTATGTATATACTATGTGAAAAGGAAATGAGAAAAATGAAGTCGTAATGCGAAATACACAACTCTCAACATAATGAATTTCGCAAAGATCGTCGTGGATGAAATCACGAGTCTATATCATATCATATTATCTTAACGATATATGAAATTTGAAATACGTAATAGTTTACTCATCTAACATGACTATTAATGTTATTTTTGAAAGATTTAATATGCCTGAAGCATAACTCAAATGATACATGCTCGAAAATCATGTTCTTAATTAAAATGCAAAGATCATTATATGAATTTAAACAATTTGGAAGCTTGTTGTTAATCGCCTTACTGAATATTTGTTGAAGGAATGACATAAAAATGATGATGTCCGCCCATGTGTTTTCATAA